AAAAGGCCATTTTGTTCTCATTTTTCTTCCTTAATCATATCTTATTTACCACTATGCCTTGAATTTTGTATATTTTATACAGATACTCCCCAACTTATGAGGGGTTTACATCCTGATAGAACTATTGTAAGTTGAAAATACATTTTATTTACCTAAGCTACTAAGCTTCATTGCTGGGCAACACAGTTGTTCCCCTCACGATTACATAGCTGACTGGGATCTGCAGCTCAGCATCACAAGAGAGGATACTAACCTTGAAAAGATAAAAACTCAAAATATGAAGTATGGATTCTAAGCAACGCATGTCATCTTTGCACCATCATAAAGCAGAAAACATTTCAAGTGAAACCATGGTTGGGGGCCATCTGTATGGGAAAAATCTTAAGAGTAGTTTAAGTAAAATCAACAGCAAAGGTAGCAACATACTCATCATAATAGTAGTAGAAACAGCAGGTAGCATTCACTGAATTATCATATGTCAGCACTGCTTTAGATACTCTGCTTGTATTAACTTGTCTGTTCCTCACTGTAGGAGTATACTCTTTGTAGGTATTCTTATTACCTCCATTTTTAAAAGATTTAACTGAAGTCAGTGGAGCCATATGGAGATTTAGTGATAACTAAAAAATAGTGAAAGCATTTTGAAATTTGAACTACAGATTGCTATTCAATATCAAGAGTTCCTTCTGGATTTATAGTGCACAATTTGCTCTTTTCTTTTTCATTTTAAAATAAGGCATATTTTACATTCAATAAAATATGCCCTTTTAGTGTCCAGTTCTGAGTTCTCACATATGTATACAACTGTGTAATTACTACAGTCAAAATATAGAACATTTCTATCACCTGATAAAATTACTCCACCAGGGAGACGATTGATTGATTGATTACAGGTTAAGTAATTTTATTGCCTGATGGAACTGTCCTATATCCTGATTGTAGTGATTACATAATTGTATAGAGTTATGAAAACTCAGTCTTCTAGGTCTCATCAACCTCCCAACTGTTTTCTGTTCTTTTAGTTTTGCCTATTCCAGGGTCATAAAAATGGAAACATAGAATATATAACCTTTGAGTCTGGGTTCTTTCACTTAGCGTAATTCATTGGAAATTCAACCATATTGTAGTTTCTTTCATTTTCTTACTGGATAGTATCCCATTATATGGATGCACCATAGTTAATTTTGTTGACAGGTATTGGCTTTCCCAGTTTGGGGCATTTATGAAAGAATCTGCTATAAGCAATCTCATACAGGTTTTGTTAACCTGAATATGATATTTTATTTTTTATTTTCTTGCCTCCACAAGAACACTTATTATATATCAGTGTTATATTCATATATATGTATATATGCATTTATACATATGAGTACGTATACATGTTCATATATTTTTAAAAAATTTTAGCCATTTAAATAGGAATGTAATGGAACTTAATTGTGATTTTAATTTGCATTTCCCTAATAACTAATGACATGGAGACTCTTTTAATGTGTGCTTATTTGCCATTTGGTGAAGTATTTGTTCAAATTTTTTTTGAAAGTTTGTGATATTTTCTGGATACAAGTCTGTTATCAG